CAGCTTCTCAGGAGAAAAAATCCTAAGGAAAGGATTTTCCATGAAAAGATGTCTGTGACAGGCAGAATAAACTCAGCCTTGGCAGTGTCTGATTCCTGTGAGCTGGTACAGAGGGTAAAAGAGAGTTCAGAGCTCTCTCTGCCAACAAAAAGCTCCAGTTACAAAAATGGATTTCCCTTTCACTCCCCTGATGGTGAAGCAGCACAGAGCTCCCAGCCAAATCCCAAGCTCGCAGGTGTTCAAAGCCAGTTTTGATTCTTCTTTATTTTTAGAGCTCACGCAGCTACAAACTATTAAAGACCTCATTAAAGTCCTCCAAAAATTGTTTTAAGTGGTAAACTGGGATTGAACTTGGGCCAGGGAGAATTGCAAGGAATTTAATTCATATTTTCTCCTTGCCATGAACTCCCACCTATAAATGGGCTGATTTTGGGACCCAGCTTGCCCAGGTGTCTCTGCATCACTGCTCCTTGGCCAGTGCTCAGATATTCACATCAACCCTCGTGCTGTGAGCTATTTATTTAGGCCATAAACTCCAAGACAAAAGCCATCTCACATTTTACAGTCACTCATCCAGCCATGCCCAGATGTGGCCAACACGTGGTTTCTAGCAGGGTAAAATTGTTTAACAGGAGGAAACAAATTTTACATTTCACCCTGGGTGTCTCATCCCAGCCAACTTCTCAGCACAGCTGCAAGGCAAAGTTTGCTTCCCATTCCTAGCAAACAGAAAATGTTTGGTTTTCGTTTTGGGCTGGAACTGTTTATCAGTTTTTGGGATAAATTGTTGATCACTGCTGACAGCAGCGACTCTGAGCTCAAACTCTGCATTCTGCTGGCTTTGTTAAGTGACAGAATCACAGAACCATGGAATTGTTTGGGTTGGAAGGGACCTTAAATCCCATCCAGTGCCACCTCCTGCCTATCTATCCTCCCACCATCCCAGGTTGCTCCATGCCCTGTCCAACCTTGGACACTTCCAGGGATGGCACAGCCACGAATTCTCTGTAACATCACTTCCCCGTGCCTTTGCTTGGGTGAAAATAAAAAATTTAGACAAGAGACCTGTTTCTAAATCATTGCAATTTGGAAAGCCCAGCAGCATTTTGGGAAAGGGAGCTCTGGCAGGAGACAAAGATGAGATGTGACAATTTTTGCAGAGCCGTTCATGGCAAGCCACGCTCCACAACCCAAAACCCTCAGCTCCTGTCATTGCTGGTGATTTTAATTGCCTTTTGTCCTTCTCAGGTGAATGGTAGAAAGGACAGGTGGGGTATTAGATTTTGAGCCTCTGGAAGTTTTGTCCAACACATGTAAAACAAACGTAAAATCCTCCCTGTGTCCTTTGCAGTGGCTTCATCAAGGCAGAGCCAAGAGGGAAACTTGGAATGGGACAGTTCTGTCCAAACCCCACAGAAATTATATCACAGCTGGGTCTGTTGTGCTTCCCAAAACCCAGCCACCATCACTGATGTAAAACAGCCAAATAAA